CGCCCAGCACTTAAAACCACCGCTACGTGTTTCTGAAATGAGTATGTGGAATTGAAACAAAAAATGAACTGAGAACCACACTTTAACCACAGATTAATAATACAGAACATTTTAAAATCAGCAATTCCTCTACTGCTGATTGTACTGATAGGTAGCCAGTACATAGAGTCACATGAAGACACATTTGAAGGGGATTTTGTTCTGATTCACTTAAAACAATGAAAAAAGAAGTTAGGCCATTTGCAAGGGTTCTTTCAGACCCCATCCAGGGGTGTGGCTATAAATGAAGAATGGAGAGTTATATTAGGAAAATTGCTATTTCAGTAATTTATAAGAAGTCTAATGATTTAATAACAGGATTAACCATGAAGGTATCTTAGGTGCAGAGGGGCTTACATTTGGAAAGAGTTCTTAACTAGGTTAGTGAAATCCTGGTTGTTTCCTTATTCTTCCCTATTCTGCGATTTCTGCTTTTATTCTACTGGAAAAGTAGGTGGTCATGGTAACAAAAATAACTTGATAACTTAAAATTTGCCATCTCAAGGATGCCAACAGGACGACTGCACACCTCTTAGTCACTTAACACAAGCGTGTTTGACTTAGGAAAGTATTTACCCAATGTGAATTTTATTCTGAGCACATTACCCCATTGGAAGGAAGACAGCTGCTCTGGGAACATGGCCATAAAGCACCTAGAAACTTCTTCTGCCACCCAATATGTATCAAGATTTGAAAATTACAAGCTCTGAGCACCTAAAATTAGTTTTCCAAAGGTGTATTTACAAGCTCTGGTGAGTACTCATGGTAGTAAAAAGGAGCATGTAATTTGGAGTCAGTGTATCTGGGCTTGAATATAGTTACACGCTTTGAGACAAACTTTTCTTACCTGCTCAGACTGCCTTTTCCAGCACCTCAATGGCCACCATGGCCACCCTCTCTGGGCTTTTGTGAAGACTGCCTGAGACACCGTAAATGGAGCACCTATCAGAAGGGGCTGGCAACCTCTCAGGTGCTTGGAGAATGTTAGTGTCTCTTCTTCCCTTGTGACTGAGGATCTATTTACTTAGATGGAGACAAAATGTAGTAAGTGGAACTCAAGGAATTTGCAACAGTCAGTAAAGCAAAAGCCATGCCTATTAAAGATGCCTAGCTACAAGAACCGGGTAAGATGAATATCTAGAAATGGTATGACTCATAGGGCTACAAGAGTGGAATAGAAAAAGACTACCACAGGTAGGGCTAGCAAGAGAAGGTTTCCCAAAAGAGGAGAACATGAGTCAGAACTTTGAGAATGGGTGGGAAGGAGATGGACAGAGAGAAGTGGATAGGGCAGGCCAGGCTAGATAACAGTACCTAGCGAGAATCTACTGGGCAATTCTGGTAATACGTAGACTGGTCTTGCTGGAAAACTTTCTGTGTATTATAATAGCTAAATATAGGCTTTTGGTTAAATGGTCATGCATTTTAAATTCTATGCTACAGAACTGGTCTTTATCTTGAGACAATGGAAAGCCAGAAAGGGTTTTTGAGGAGGAAAACAGCACAGCCAAATAATTTCATGTGGAAAGCTCCCACATAGACCATGATCACCATGGTGTTATGAGCCATGCTGCTGTGAAAAAAGAAAGCCCTTTCATTATACTAATACTTAGTAAATCACTGAAGACCTACTTCAGAACTCCAAGGAAAACATTTTGTGAATCAAAAGCTAAGTACAATATGTTAGCAATTAAATGAGATAACATAATAGCTGAGGCAGAACCATAGTTTTCCCCACCATGAATTTAAGCTGCTACAGAAAGAAATGCTTACATCACCTTCCAAGTTATCAAGCCATTCTGTTTTGATTTTCTGGAGTCGGGGAGGGAGGAAACAAGAAGAGTAGGAGGTCAAGAGGATTCAAAGCTGTCTATTCTTTAATCAGAAGGAATTATTAAGGAGAGTTGGGAAGGAGATTTGCTTAAAACAAAACCAGTCCTGGGATGAGTCTCCAGTTACCACCCCAGCTCCCACTGCAGAACAACAAAGAAAGGTGTGCAGTTGGGAGCAGCCTTTTCCAGAGCTTTCTGCCACATTTCCGGTGCATACCTCCCACTGCTACTTTATTTACTGCAGCTGGCCAAAGTTTTATAGCCTGTTTCATGTATTAAAATTCAAATGTGGAAAACATTACCAGTATCCTCCTTGAATTTTTTTTTTTTTTGCTGGGGGGGGGGTTCTTTCTTTCTTTTTTTCTTCCCTTTACATTTCCTTTTTTATTGTGGAATGTATCAAATGGTCAAAGGCTAAGTTTAGACTGACTAAACTAAAAAACTATTTCTTTTGTTCTTATTTTTTGTTAAAATTCATACCAATTTGCCTTAAGAAAAATGTGACAATCAAATCTTTTTCCCATCCATTAGCATTTTAGGCTGAGAAGCTGAGATTCTGTGGACATGTGGAATGGTTTTTCAAGACAAGAGAACCACTTGATTCAGAGGGCAGCAGGACAGTGACAGGCACATCTTTGGAGTTCCACCATGATCTGGTGGGCTCCACAGTCGTCCCTGATTGAATATGAGATGTCTTCAGAGGAGTGAACAAGAGCTTTCTCTCATCACCCTTACCGTGGCTGTGTGGTTTTTTTTTTTTCTAATTTCTTTTCCAAAATCAAGCCAAAGAGGTGTTTATATAACAACAGCCAATTATTTACCTTTAAAAATTGTTCTGTTGTATTTCCTCCCCTTCCTCTCTACTGGGGTCAGTTCCACTTCCTATCTCCACAAACAGGGCTAGGTTTTTTCCTCCCATCCCATCTCTTAATCAGACTGAAAAAAGAGGAGGCAACTCAAAGGTCAAATAGTTCCAGAAAGCATCTATGTATAGGTTAATATGTTAAAAAACTACTTAACCTACATCTGGTACTTAAGAACGAACTTTACATATTTATGGGAAAGATAGTCTCTGAAGCAATGCCCCGGGTGCATGTTGCATCCGGTTAACATATGCAAAACGAACGCAACTACAGAAATTAAACTATTTTTCTCTTGATTGAGAGCAGATATACAGAAATGGTTATAAGTCACAGATCTGGCTTTTAATAAAGCCAGATTTCTTAATTAAAAGCAGTATTGTTTAAACATTGTAGTTAGGAAAAAAAGAGCTGTACAAATGAAAATCTCATATTGTATGCATCCCAAGTGTATTTAACACATTACCTAAGGCCAAGTTAAATTAAAATCTAGACTTTCCTTTTGTAAACTCTTAGCAACTGCCATGAACAGACAAATAATTTTTACTCAGTGATGAATTTTTAGGGTAGAGGTCAAAGAAACAGAAAAAAAGATTTCACTCTGGCATTCGGAAGTATCTTTCCACATTTTAGAAGTGAGTTCACTGCTTCTATTTATAAACAAGTATTTTTGGTTTCAAATTGGTTGCAGGTTTTAATATCACAGTGCTTAGGATGGTAATCTAAATCTTAGTCTTTTATTAAGAGAAATTGAGGAAAAGACCGAGGAATACTATCAAGCAAGAACTTGAAGGAGCTCATAATAATGTGTACTTATTTTGCATTTCCTTTCAGAACAATCTTTAAATAAAATATTCTACAGTGATATAGGAAGAGACCTTCAGCCAAGCAATTTGTTAAAAAAAAAAAAAAAGAAAGAAAAACCCAGAAAGGACAAAACAGGACACAGAGGTGTTCACTGACTGCTCATGAGTCTGTAAAGAGGAGAATCACACAGAATCATAGTAGTTAAATTTTTGACTCCTTTGGTCACTTCATTAATTATTATCACTTAATATTTTAAGAAGATTCTCTCAATCTTTGTAATCATCCAAAAAAAGATGCTTCCGAAAGTAGTAAGCAACAAAGAAATTCCAATTATCATGAAGACAAATCTGCTTAAAGATTATTCAAATAGACTTTAAAAATAGCAAAATTACTCTATACATTAAGTTACACAGACCCACACCATGTAAGTCCACAGGCAAATTGACCATGTATTTCTACCTCCCATACGCAGGGTTGAAAGCCATCATTTTGGCTCATTTAATTTAAAAAATTCATATTTTAAACATCAGCAATGTAACATGAACTTATGTTGTGTCCACTAATCAAAGTCACCAAGATAAATAATTTAAAACACCAGCAGTTACTAAGCAATTCACTCCTACATAGATACTTAAATTAATGGAAACGTGTCCACACAAAAACTTATACATGAATGGTCACAGGAGCATTAGATATAGTAGCCAAAGAGTGGAGACAACCCGAGTGTCCATCACCTAATAAATGAATAATCATAATGTGGTCTATACACAAAATGGAGTATTTTTTGGTAATGAAAACAAAACTCTAATATGTGGTAAAACATATATAAACTTTAAAAAGATTATATTAAATGAAAGAGGCTGATCAGAAAAGACCAATACAACCTGGGTGTGGTGGCACACATGAGTAATCCCAGCACTTGGGGAGGCCGAGGCAGGAGTAGTACAAGTTTGAGCCCAGTTTGGGCAACCTAACGACTCAGTGAGACCTTGTTTCAAAATTTAAAAAATTAAAAAGGGCTGGGGATGTACTCAGCAGAAAGGTCCTGGGTTCGATCCACAGTACATTTTTAATTTTTTAAAAAAAATGAACAACACAAATTGTACAATTCTATGAAATGTTCAGAATAGGCAAATTTATGGAAACACGAAGTAGACTGGTGGATGGATGCTAGGAAGTGGGGCCAGAGAGTACAGGGTGTGGCTGCTTTGTGGGATGGGGCTTCCTTTTGCTTTTATAGTGGGCAAACCTGTTCAAACATCAGACAGTGGTGATATTTGCACAGCCTTGTGAATATACTAAAACACACTGATTTGTATACTATAAACCAACAAATTGTATACGAAGTGAATTATATCTCAATAAAGCAATTTTACAGAACAAGCAGCAGTAGTATTTATTGAGAGATTATATCGGAAACCCTAATTCTACACAACAGAGTCTACCAAGTTTCATCACTTACCATGAGTGAATGTCTGTTGGCTGAAAGAAGGCCGGTTCCATACCCTGAGCCCAGACCACCCATGGCTCCATTATGAGAGGGTCCGATGATCCCATGCATGTCCCCGTGCCCACCAGGCACAGCTGTGGATGGGCCCACTGCATGATTCCGGAGAACGTGAATGGCATCATCCAGTCTTTCTAAACGATCTTCAATTCGGCTTTGCTGTTGGTTAACAAATGATGCAAAATTTGATTTAGTTTGAAATGCATGCGTTAAGTTATATAAGGAAACTTGGGTTGACACAAACTACACTTTCTGAATATGCTTCCAATACAGTTTATTTCCTTAGAACAATAGTATAATGTCCTTCCTAGAAAACTAGTGGAAAATGTTAAATTAGGGTGGTGTTTTTTGTGAACAAAGTAAATTCAATAATTCTTCCAGGACATATTATATACGTATTCTATACTGGACTGCATTAGTTTGAAGGAGAATTTAGATTTACTTTAGAAGAGAAGAACATTTATTGAATCTAAGGAACATTTTGGCAGGCATTGGTTAGAAATTCACAAAATGAGCAATGGGAAAATGATCTTTTTATGTTTTCCTGATTAAATTATCTTCTTCAAATCACAGACAGGTAAAAGCATATAGATTTTGATTTCTTGTTTTTAACCCATTTCTGGTGTGCTAGCATCAATACCAGCTTGCATGCGTGTGTGTGTGTGTGTGTGTGTGTGTGTGTGTGTGAGAGAGAGAGAGAGAGACATAAGGGCCTCAAAATTGTAACAGGAAAAAAATTACAAAAATTCTGTCCACCAAAGTGATATGAAACTTTAAGACTCAATAATCAGACTTGAATCAGATGCTCACCAAGGGACTCTTACTGATTTCAGAGCCTCTGCTATAGTACTGGATTCACTACTTCATGCAATTAAAAGCCAACTGACCTTTGTTCATCCTAGACATGAGGATCTAAGTTTTCCTCAACTTGATAAGGCCTACCTGATGGTTTTCAGTGAGGAGAAAGAACATGTAGATATGTACTCATTTGTTTTACTGCGATCAATAATGACATTAAGTCTGACTGTCCAGTGTGCACTTTATGCTCTTTCAATGATCCTCATTCCACACGTGTGCCGCCGGCAGGGAAGACAATGATATCTCTTCCACATAGGAGTTAAAATGAGGCTCAAAGAAATAAAGTGAATTAATTACTGTGTTACACTGCCAGGAAATGGTAAAATCAGAGTTGCAATCTAGGTTTGTTTTACTTTAAATCAAGTGCCGCTTTGTACTGCACCATGCCACAATCTACTTTGATTTCTAATGTGCGGTACAAACAGATGTACCAGCTCTACTGCATGAGAAAAACAATTTCTAATTGTTCTATACCGACAGGAAGAATGTGTGTCTAACAGAGTTAGTCCATGGTACAGGGCATTTTGATTTGGTGGGCTTGAGAGTTAAACAACCTCCCCTGGACTGTTAGTTCTGCTACTTACTTGACCTGGGAAAAGTTACTAAACTTCTTTAAGTCTACGATTGTTAACTTTAAAAAATGGGAATGATAATACATATTTCTACATGTAACTGTAAGCATGAAGAGAAATCACACATGTGTCCATCAAATTTCCTGGCTCATGGATTCCTGGGGGGAGAGAGGAGTCTGTGTTTATGAACGTCCTCTTGAGTGTTCAGACTCCATAAAGAATCGAAGCTGTAATCCACAACTCCAAAACAGCTTTTACAGCTCTAGCGTGGGACAAAGCCTGGTTTCTGGATGGATGGGCCCCAGAAAATGACGAATAAGGATACACATTTAAAGCAACTATGCATTATTCAGATGCAGCCTGCAGATTAATGGGTCATGGATACACTGTCTCTCTAGACAGGTGCCTTTACTAGCTAAAATGCACAGCTAGATGATTCACACCCCAGCAAGAAAGAGCACAATCCACCCTTGTACTCTCATTTTTAAGTTTTCTTTAAAGAGCAAGCTGAAAGAAGGGAAATCCTCAACACTGACAAGACAACATGAAGTTAGACAGACACAACTACGCGACCTTCAGTGTTGATCTCAAGTTTGGAAGAAGAGGGGAAAACACAACCCTGAAGGATTATTGGCTCCCCCCACTCACTGCCACCATCTGACTTATGTGCAGTCTGAAAACTGCTTGCATCAGAGTTGTTTCATATGTAATTCCAGCCCCATTCACCATGAGCTGAGGAAGACTAAAGTGTCAGACACTGAATCATCATGAGTATTTATAATTCAAATTATGCCTATGGAAATGTTCAGCTATTTCCTCCTGGAAGAGTAGGTACTCCCTTATTATTAATCATATTACTGGATGTCTATGAGAATTACAGTGAATGAGGAAATACACAGTAGGACTGGCCTCCCGTTTGGAGGTTAAAAAGACGTCTCCTATAAACTTGTTATTCTAGAAAGCAAAGCAGTGGTAGAGTTCAAGTGTTCTGCCTATGTGCTGAGCCAGAGCTGCAGCACTCTTGATAAAAAGAAAATGATTTACAAGGATCTATCCCAGAGTGAGGAGAGAAGCATTCTCACTCTGAGATCTTCAGTCTTTCATCTGGTCTTAGAATTTAGAGCCCTGGATCTTCCACTGTAGTAGTATTGGGGTCACCATGGATAAATAAGAAGTTCCAGCCAATCCTGTGTGCTTACAATGACTTAAAAGTTATAGTGATTAGCAAAAACAGAAATATTGCAGTCAAGCAATAAGAAAGGAAATATCTGATCTGAAAATGGCTGGAGATTAGCAAATGAGACATACCAAGGAGTGTAAGGGTCCTTCATAATTGGGAGATGATGAGGCCTGTCCTCCATTTCTTGACCAAACAGCTGTGCCTGCTGACATTAAAATGAGAATTACAATTAGAACTCTAAGAACTTAAATTCAACAATATCTTAAGAGTCATTTTAGAAACAGCAATGCTGATTTTCACTTAAACAGTAAAGTAAACACATGTTAACATCTCACACCAGAATTTTGTGGCAAGGAAAACATTTTAAATGTAAAATATGACCCATACTTTACAGTTCCCTCCAGTTGCTTCCTTTAAAAGGGAACAATTTAATTGAGTCTGAATTCACCTAGAAAAGCCCCTTGTGGAGAAAATCTTTCACTATCTTGTCAAGGTGCTTTTAAGAGTACAACGACAGAGAGCTTGTTAGACTTTTATGCAAGGAGAGTTTATATTCAGCCAAAATTCCCTCATCAGTGCAGAAGAGCTTTGCATTTGTTTTTAAAATGATCTAGGAAGGGAGATAAATGTTCAGAAACTTTCTTTTGTGTGTGCAGGAGGAGTGCTGGGGATTAAACCAAGAGCCTTGGGCACTACCACACCAGTGAGCCACGCGTTAGCCTCTTAAAAACTCTTAGAAACTTTTCTCGGGAATAAGATTAGTTAGCAGTAATCCACTAAACAGAAATTTTAAAGCTCCATATAATAGCAACAACTAAGCAACTTCTCCTGAAGAAAACAATTATTTTATGATTCATTAAACTTCAAGGTAAAGAATGATTCTTATTAAAATACATGTTCTATGTCTGACCTACAAAATAGACATCAATTTTAAATTTAAAATTGGAGAAAGCACATAATTCTAAAAAAAGTAAAAAATAATAGCTATGATCTCACTGAAATCTCAGGCCCCAGTGCTGTTAGCACTTTTAAAAATCTATTCTTTCCATCTTTTCTGGGTATGCCTGTATATTTTTATGCTAAACAAAAATAGAATATTTTGTTCAATTACTTTTCTTGACAGAATTTGGACAGAGCTGTCGGTGTGAAAAATAGCAATCTGTCCCCTTATTTATAATTTTCATAAAAGTTCTTTCTGCCTAAAACACGACTTTCCAGGATGCATTGGCAGGACCCAAAAAGTGGCATCTCCAGCCTTGTTTCTGTGCCTTCTACCTTGAGCAAGTTGCTCAGGCTATGACATTTCCCTGAATGGTTACATCCTAACTTTTCTCTCTCCCATCATAATTTTTAAATGGAGTGGCAGGATAGTCAGTCTTAAAACTCTCCTCCAACCTCTGATATTACCACTGGTGTAACCTCGGCAAGCTACCTACACTTTCTGGCCTTTAAGGTCCTTTCTGGGCCTCAGTTTACTTATCTCTAAAATAAGGGCATTAGCCTACTTCTTGCTCTTTAAGGCCACAGAAGACTTTATTTTTCCAAGTTAAAAAACAGATGAAATTAGAGATGTTCTGCAGAATTTGGAGCTGACTTGCTCAGACTATCTGTTCCTGTGCCTCAAGTCCTTTGTATGCATTCCTTCCTGCATCTAGACACTGACACTTGAGATCATTTTTCATAGCTTCAGAATCTGTGTTGAACCACAGGAATATAGCAATACCAAACTCTACTTCCCTTTGTGTAAAAGGGAATGTTTCATTATTCTCGTAAAGCATCTCTATTCTTCCAAATTTTGGCCTGATCTCCCTGGACACATACATGACTGCAGGATGTAGCTATCCCTCCCTCCCTCTTCATCATGTGGGCTTCCAAAAGGATGATATAAACTCCCTTCTAAGCCATGGCCATCACCTGAAACTTCCATTCTCTAGAGGGAAACCAGTTTATAAGGGGCCATGTGAGGGTTGCATACAAAGAGTAAAGTTCAAGGATGCAACAGTAAGGCAAGTGACTCCACTATGAATTACAGTAAAGTCAGTTTTCAATCAGGTACACAGGTGCTTAAGTTTTGATTGGAAGTCATCCGTACTCCTTCCAAAGAGTGGAGCATGTACCAGGCAGCTTTCTGGAAGTATTTACATAGGAAGGGCAATGTAAAGAATCACTGAGAAGTAGAATGATTTACTTACTGACATAATTCTGCAACTTAAAATAATTATTCAATTTTAAGTGATAAGTCATGTTAATTTGTCGTATTTTAAAAGCAACCATCCCCTTAACTCCAACAATTACTTTACAGTTTATCTACAAAATTATAGTTTTTCCCTCAACATTCTACTGACATGTACTTTGGGGGAATCTGGAAAGCTAAAATGCCTGCAGACAACAAGCCATTTATATGGCCTAAATTCGATGACTACACTGTCTGAATTCATACTTATGACTATAGTAACTGAGTTTTTCATCTGAGATGTTTTACTGGAACATATCATTTGGCTGTTGGGTATCTTTTTTGCAGAGCTGAGTTTAATGAAATAAATTTTTCATGTATATGCCTGTGTTGTCTAAAAGGATCATCTAATTTGTAAGAAAAATTTTGGATGCAAGTGTCCTGTTGTAATCTGTCTTTCTCATCTTTTTCTATTTGTTTATATGAAAATATTATGAATTGGGAGGTTGAAAGGCAGTGAGTTTCTGTCTACTGGAGCAGAAGTAGAAGAGGGAAATCATTCTTACAAAATGTTTTTATGATAAAATGGGATTTTAAATACTGTACCTGAAAGAGAAGGGGGAGAGCCAACAGGAGTTGAAGGGTTTGAAGAAAAGCTGTTGTTAGTGTGATCTGGAGAATAGATCTTAAAACAGTGGAGAGAAAAAAAAACCCTCATTTATTAGGAATAAAAAGTAAACAAATTTTAAAACTACAATGCTACAAATGCAACTCATTTGACACTTAAAGTCTCAAAATACTGTAACAAACAACTGTGGTTCTTGACTACTAACAATTTTTTTCAAAAGAATTACTGAGTGGTATGGAATAATGGGAAAAGAACAGGTCAACAAACTTCAGATCTAATCTTGTTTTTCCTATCACTAGTTGTGTGACCATGGGTGGGCCACAGAGATACTACTTCCCAATTCCCTTTCATTCCTCTAAAAATAACAGGCCAGGCAGTATCATTTCTGAGGTCTTTGGCCCCAACTATTTTACTGTAATTAGGGCATTTGATTTCATAGTATAATTAGGCCTTGGTTAAGTAAGTACTTTTGCTTAGGACACAATGCTAATGTAAGCTGAACTTATTTTATGTTCCCAGTAGTAAGGAAAAAGCAAATAAAGAGAGACCATCTTAAAGAAACAAATCTCTACTTATATTTGCAAATGATCATGTTTAGCTTTGAAGAAAATACGAGGTATAGTTTCTTGGACAAAAAAGGCATGCTATTTTGTCACTAGGAAGCATATGAAAAATATTCAATTGTAGCTTCCTGGCAGTAGGTGGATAAGAGAAGTTGAGCCCCCAGATCCCAATAATGTCACTATTCTCCAGGAAGCCCAGTTACTATCATTTGCTTTTCAAATTCCTTCCCAAGGTGTTTTAGAACTGTCCCTTGCAAAGGCATTCTTGGCTAGTCAATGAGTATCCATATTACTTTAGAGAAAAATTAGAAATCTGCATAGAAAATCTACAAGCCAAAAGTCCCAGAGAGTATCCCCGGATCCATATCTAGAGGTGGCAAGCACCACTGTGAGAAAACAAGAAGGAAAAGGCTAGCCACAGACTGAAAGTAAAACAGCTTTCTCCTCAAAGTTTCCAATGTCCTTATGCAAGAAAGTTAGCATTTTCCAAAAATCAAAGCTATTTGCCATTCATTTCCTAAAATTCCAAATGTCCACTGCTGATTAAAGTTCACCCCGCTACAATGGTGCATATGGAGTCCAAAGTCAATATTTCCTCACCGAAGCAAGTGCTTTCCCCAGAGCGTCTCCAGTCTGGGAGCTGCCTGCTGCCCCGCTTCCTCTATTTGCTGCAAAAACAAAGGGCAGAATATGAAAACCAGGCGGTGAGACATCTAACAATTTTCTATTCCTGGTCCATTTACTCACAATTTAATTGCATTTTAATGCTAATTACAACACATTAATCTTTAATTAGCATTAATTTGTTTGCTGAGGTAGATGTCAAATATATTCATGTTATACTTTTTACAGATAAAATATAAACCTGACACCTTGATTTAAAGACAAAGTGTTTTAGTTGCTATTCCTTTCCCTCTTGTTGCTTATAAGTAGTCATAAGTGTGACTGGAGGCAGCCTGCACGCTTGTCATTGATGAGAAGTATGTAGCACATTCATGCCTCTGAAGTCCTCAATGTCCAAATTGTATATTTACATCAAATTGAATTATCCTCATGAATAATTTACACTTGCTCTTACATCAGGAAAATTTTGAGACACAGCAAAATGGGGTGTTCTTAGATTTAAACAGTGAGTGAAGTGAAACAAAAAACTATGAGAAAATACTTTTAATATTTTAAACAATGTATTTTCCATACAGTTAAGTTTGTATTCACAGTAAAAAAAGTTTTTTGAAGGTTATGCTACTGCTTAAAGTCAATATGGTCTCAAATTCCAGAGATAAAGTAAGTCCACATATCCATGAAGCTTATCTCTACTACCTTAAATGCTGGTATTTTTATCTATAAAATAGATAAACAGAGAGCATTATTAATAAAAGTTGTATATTCTGGTACATAAATCAAAGCCAGCTCTATTGAATCCATATCTTTTGAAGGTGACTTGTTTTATAACTAAGTACTGAAACACGGTTGCCAGTGTTCCTCTGAGTCCTCAGTATTAAAGTAATGCCTGAAACCCATGGAATGTTGAAATTATTAAGGCTTCAATGCTAGCAAAGAGACACAGGACTTAAATAAAAGTCTTTCTGCAGAACATTTTTACAGTATTTTGTGAAACAAAAAAGGAACATTTAAAACAACTGGCAAACTCAAGCAAAATGTCACTAGACTTCTGTAAGTGAAAACAATTTCTACTGCGCCAGGTTCGGTGGCACGTGCCAGTACTCCCAGGACTCTTGGGAGGCTGAGGGAGAAGGACAGCAAGTTTAAGTCTGGCTCAGGCAACTCAGAGAGACCTGGTCTCAAAATAAATAGTTTTTTTAAAAAGGCTAGGTATATAGTTCAGTGTGAAGGACCTGGGTTCAATCCACAGTACTAAAATAGCTCCAGTGCTATTTGTAGTCAGGGGAGCCCTTTGTTTCTGGCTATAATGTCATCATCCTCTTCTCAAACTATTACATACAGTGGTGCTTGCAGAACTTCGGGAGTCAAATTCTCTGCTTTTCTAGACTCTAGTTTCATTCTTCCGACCTCTGTTTAGTATAGCTAAGTTATGCATTTTATTTTCATATATTGGGCATGTCAGACCATCTTTTGATATATGCTTTATTTGATTAACAAAACTCATATACATAGTAATACATTCATCAGCAAAATAATGAAAAGAAATCTGGTGTATGATAAAATGAAAACACCAGAGAAAGCTTTGTTTTCATATCACAAATTGGTGATATTAAAAATACAGGAGTTATTAATCTTCAAGATCATAAGTATAAGCAAATTCTTTAAAACAAGAGTCTAATATATAACTGGGCTATGGGAAGCAACTTGGACAGATATCGAACATATTAAAATATTTAACATAAGGCAAAAGATAACTGAAATTATAGCTACTGTAAAAATGAGAATTTTTACATTAAGGAGTTCTTCAAAAACTAAAGATATTTCTAAAAAGAGTATAATAAAGACCTGAAAATACACACAACACTAGCACTTTTTTGATATGGATTACCATGGTATGTTAGAGCAAGATACTTTCTTCCTAGAAGCAATACTACTTTTCCATTATTATATACTTAAAAATTAGATTTGACAGCCAAAGTAATTTGTGACATCTGCACTATTTGAATAAAGATCTCCATGAAATGAAAGTTCAGAGCCACATAGGAAAAAAATCAAATTACCTAACAAAGAACCTAAACCAAAAAAGAACAAGATATTGTTTCAATTATAGATAAAAATTTGCTCCAGTAGTAGCTTTCAAAAGATTAATTCTTCCTTTGAACAATTTTAAAATGAAGATTGTAAATTTAAAAACTTTTTCACAAAACCAAACAGAAAGAATTGAAAACCAATAAAAATATTAAGAACATTTTACAAAGTAAATTACATATCACATAAAATCATACTTTGGAAAAGATATGCTTATTATGATTTTCTTGGTGGTAGACCTTTCTAACTAAGCTTTCTATTAGTTTTATACAGGGAGACATTTAGGCCTCAGGAAGTAGAATCAAAAATAGTATCAACTATGTACCTCACCTTGTCATGAAAATGTTTCAGAATACTACAAAGGCTACTCGTGGAAGCCAGCAATAAGAACAGACTATTTTTTAACATGAAGTCATTTTTACCTTGTAGCAGCTGGACAGCCAAACCCAAGAGTTTAAATTTCAAAGCAATTTGCTTGGGCCAGTTCACTCTTTCCCTTGGAATGCCTTCTGTTCTGTTCCAGGAAACACTGAAGGGGACACATTTTCACTTTCCCTAAATATGTTAAGTGAGATGAGTCTTTCTCTTAAAGATTTCTCTTCCTTTTGTGACTGACATATTAACGGACATACAGAATCCAAAAGGAAATATATTTTTATTCTCAAGTGGCATACTTTTTTGTGTGTGCACTGAGAAATGGGTCATGTTTAGCAAAAACACAAATAAAATTCACCTTTTTGGCTTGAATGCATCAGAATTTGAGTACTTTCCTAGGCTCAAGGTTTGTCAATTGATATTATTAAGAGTTACCAAAAGGTCCATACAATAGAAGCAAAAATGAAAACTACTGCCTTTACTTGGTATTGATTTCGTATTATTTTGGTTCCAATCAATTTCATTTGCTTAAGAGATAATCAGCCTCTAAGTAAAGCTGTAACATAAATATGAACAGGAGATGAGCAGTTATTAAGAGGAACTGTAATTTTGTAGGAGGATTCAACACTGCCAGCCACCCAAGTATTGTTCGGAGGGCTTGCACACAGGTGCTGTTGCTGGCTCCAAGAAGCAGCAGGAAGGAGGAGGGTTTCAGAGCTTGGGCGATGTGCTGGACCACCCTCTGTCTTAGCTCTGCTTTGGGGAGATGGCCATTCTCATCAGGACACACCTCAAACAAAACACCAGGATGAATGGTGCCTGGAGATTTACTCCCGAAAACTCAGAATTTGGAAAATGTGTTTCTCTTTTATTGTGACCTCATATCCTGAGGTGGGGAACATCACGAAGACATCAAAGGGACAAGAAGTGCAATTCATAGTGTTTGCTAAGAGAGGACAAATGCTGCGACAGGTTTTTCTGAACTGTGTCCATACGACCTTCATGTTATTCAACTACTAGAACCAGCCTCACAATGCCATAAGCTTGTGTATAAGGATGACCAAAAAGAGAATATTTCCAACACTCTACTACTACAACAACTTCAAAGAAAAAATTCAAACATAGGCTGCAATATACAGGGGAGTACTGGGCCTCATGACCGTGTGCTGAGAATGGTGGAAAAGACTTAAACTCATTCACTGTTCTCTTTATATCTGTGGAGCCTGAAACTGCTGGATAAAATTCATGGTACTCTTATGCCTTTGTGCCTGGTCATCATGCAAATGTATGCGAAGGCTCAAGATCCTTGTAAAATACAAAGTGAATATTACGTGACTACCCCAATAATAAAATTACTATGAAACCAAGTCCTCAAGGGAAAAAGGACAAAATGTTTCTACTAGAAAGCTGTATCCCAAAATGCATCATGTCACACAAACGTCATTAAAAGTGAAAGTTAGAAGCCAGATTAATTCCTGAACCAGATAGGTATTCTAGAGTAATCTTTAGCATACGGTATATTAAATCAACCTTGGTAGTCTGTTCCTTCAACACTGCTTGGTTGAGGTTTAAAAACATGGAAACACCATGCATTAGAAAGCAGACCAGTTAGAGACTAATAACACAGTAAGAGTTATAACTATTATGTTAGTTATATGTCTGATTCCTCTGAGGAGAAGGGAATGTGTGTAGCCCCAAACCACATGGGCTGTATTCTGTGAATGTATACAGATGGCAGCTCAAGCTGGGCGCTGAAGAGAGCCAAAGGCTCTTAGCCTTGAGTAGTACACTGGATTGTGCTAGGACAAAGGTCATCTCACTCCTGATCAGCTGGGGCTTCTTGCCTACATTATTGAAGGTAGGAAGGAAATAAGTGGATAGAAAAAATGTGTATGGTTACTATCCTGTAGACAGTTCTCTTTGGCTGAAATCTAATAATTTACTGCCCATCCTGCTCTATATGCATGCTCACAGTCAGAGGCATTGGACTGTACTGCTTTTGAGAAATACCAGGAGCCTAACACGGAAATTTTAGGAACCAAGTTGAAGACTTTTGGCTGCATCTCTCCTTCACTGGGTACTATACCAGTTGAGTGCTGTAATTCTTGTGGTTTTTTCTGTCCACTGCCTTCATACAATTCTAGGGTATTTAAAAGACCCTTCCAATTCAGAAACAGTGAATGTAATCTCCAGAGGTTGCTAGTAAGGCTTGAGAGAAAAGGAGTGGACTATATGCCACAAAACATTTCACTCTCCAATTTTCTCAAGAATCCAAAATGAATGTGCCCTTTAAAAAAAACAAAACAAAACAAAATCCCCTTATTAATCTAATTAAAGTATTACCCTGCCAAGGGTTTAAAAAAAAGATATTGGGCATTAAAGGGAAGGAAAAACTGAGAAAACCAGCCACTTTTCTAAGCAAAACAAATAATAAGTCATTCCAAACCTCAGTGAGCATTTTCCATCTTTGAGGTACAACAGGCAGACAAGAAGCAAGGGAGTGAGCATCCTCCTGATGTTCGTAGAGATTACATCCCATTCCACAGCCCCTGTGTTGTTTTACATTCAGGCCAGGACAACTGCTAATCACCAAGAAGACCTATTACATCACAAGCAGCAGAGACTCAGGGCAGTAGTCTTCTAAACTGAAAGAGCAGCTTCCTAAGGCATCAGGTTATGTATGAAAAGACCACACCGCCTTGCAACTTTCCATCAAGAAAAAATGAAAAATGTGATGTCCATGTGTTAGTGCTTGATCCCCATTCTTACAGCATTAGTATTGCTTACAGTTATTTTCTACAGAATCATGTGTGTAATTTCAAACATGTGTCAGGCTATGTGTTCCCTATTTATCAATTATTTAATTAGCTCTGTTTGTTCTTTGAGATACAGGCAACGTAATATTTCTCTATTTCCTGTGTCTCAGAATGAGTGAGTATATGCCAAATACTTTCAAAAGTCTACAGATGTATCCGATTAATCCATACTGTTCGTCAGGGAAATACCGCTAACTTCAGAACAGAAAGCTTCTCTTCTTTTTATATAGACATGCAGCCTTTGCTGACTTCCACCATACTCTGAAAACCAAACCAGAACCTAAGAGAATATAAGTGAGAAGAAACATGAGCCACCGGGACTCTGTGCAACACTAAGACTTATTACATAGGACTTAGATTTTGCTCTGCATTTGTAATTTGTTCTGTATTTATACTTTCGAAATTGGAGAACATGATATTTTAAAGAAAATACTCAAATGTTCTAGAATGTTCTCTCTTAACCTTAAACTAATTTCTACACTATTTATGCAAATAAATAAGGGCCTGTTCCTCCAAGAAGTTGAATTACCATATCTACCTTACTTCCTGAAAGATTGTGACTTTTTCATGTTTGCTAATGGATTTTGACAAGCACACTCATTTTTTTGAGTTTCAAAAATCTTATGCTTCTCTCTTTAAATTAGCACTCTTATAATTGTTTAGATACTTAAACAGGCTGTATGGTCTACAAAAAGTTAAACCCATCTTTAGCATGTAGCTGAGCTGTTAGCAGGTGGAAGTCACCTCCAGCTCCACTCTGCCAGACTCGCTGAGTGGGGTGTCCTGTTAACCCATAAGCTAATGATGAAGTGGCCAGTTTAAACCAAGCAAATCTTATTCCTATTGAGACCTGCTCGCCCCTCATGGAGGATGCTATCTCTCTTTCCAGTAATATCTCTCTCTTTCCAAGTCACACTGCTCCTCTCCCAGGAAGATTGTTTTGCCAATCGACCTATAAAACTTATTTTCAAAAGTGCCTAAGTATGTTTTCCTCAACTCAAGGATCTCCTCCACCTTCATACCTTTCTGAAAAAGAAAATGAGTCAACCCACAAGTAGACAGGAAAACGGTCATGTAAGAGGATGAATGACCGGTCATCCTTCTTTATAACCAAATCTCATGACTGCAGAAAGGGGCTTTCCATTTGTCAAACCACAGTGAAGTGAAATATGCTTTTCTCACTCTTTCAGTTCTGCACTTTTCTTTCTTTCTTGTTTTAAAAAACTGCGTTGATAGCTAACCGAACTTCCCCATGTGACCTCTGTCCATAGCTCTCCAAGGTCAAACTGGTGTAACACACTTGTAGACACTTTATTATGAAAAGTTACAGAAACGGAAACTCTTTCCTAAATTTGTTGCTCAGTGAGACATTATAGCGGAGGGCTGCGAGATGGCTCATTTCAAGTGTGAAATAAATTACTGAATAAGCAGAGTGGGTATTATTTAGGCAGAAATTATATTTGCAACATTTCAAAACACATCTCCTTCATCAAAAACTCTCCCACATAAGTGATTCATACCACTTCCCGAAGTTCTATACACTATCTAAAGAAAAAAGAACTGCCAAGTACTAAGGAATAAACAGCAGCATTACTCTGTCACAAGATGTTCTCTGAAAAATATACACCAAGTATTCTCATCAGTGACCCTCTGGGCATGGTCTTAAGGCCAAAGTGTGGATCTTAACTTGAACCAGAGTGGGTGGTGAGCAATGAAATCTGAGGCTCTAAAAAGGAGCGGGAGCATCGAGATGTGCTGCATGTTTGAATGACAAGGTTGTCAAGGCAGATTCAGAGTGGGGAGCTGCCTCTCTGTCACCCAGACTCTTCTCTGGGGGAAGCTGGACATCCTGCCTAGGTAATTCCCTGAGGAGGGCATTTCTGGTGGGGATCTGCCCTAAGAAAAGGATAATAATGAACATCACAGAAAATAAGTAGATCATAGCTCGGTTCATTTGGTGACATTGGCAATCTTCTTGAGATTTAACATGGTAAACCATTTCCAAGACAGCAGCAGATATTTTAGCCCCATGCATGCCCAGCTACCTCCTTGCTCCTGGGTAAGCAAACACTGTTTCCCCTGAAAGGCTCCACAGTGCCATTCTCCAGAAGGACAAGCTCATCTAGCTATTAACAGTGCTGAGACAATTTCACACACACTAGTTTTCACAAGGCAGTGGCACGGTATGGTACAGTGGCTGGTATTTGGCAAGCGGTTAATAATCATATTAAGAGCTATTCTGTCTTCTATTGCACTAGTCTATGGTGGCTGGTCTTAATAAAACAGTTCACTGTGTTCACTGTTTGAGAGTACAAGAACCAAAGACGAGCTTTGGTCTATTTAAACCTTGTTTAATTTAATGACTCATAATGGACAAAGTACTTAAATTTCAGTTTCTTGTGATCAAAAAAGTGATTATGGTCAATCCAGTGATTATTTCTGCTCGGTTCATTTGTTTGTTCATTCGGGTAAGTGACAAATATTTATTGCCTACTTGCTGTTCAGTTATGGAGGGATTAAAAAAAGAGGTTCCTTATTATTAAATCCTGACATGGACCGTCAGCATGAGAACTGACATGTCTGTGACTCACCCATTATACTGTCTGTCCCGTTGGCAGGAGGTGTACAGGAGGAGGTGCTGTAGTGGTTTGTACCACTACGATGGAAAGTGGACATCGGAGGAAGACTGGAATTGATGTCTGCTGAGGAGTGTGATGGATAGCTCTAAAGGAAAAGGGAGAAAAAGGAGGCCATATTCAATCACATAATTTTCAGTGAACTAGTTTCCTAATACTTCTTCCAGTATTCTCCTTTCTGCAATGGAGACAGCTTTTAGAATTTCAAAATAGCTAAGAATGCACCTCGCTTAGATCTGACAGCATTCATTTTTCAAACAATAAAATACATAGGTGTATAGTCTAGGTTTGCATCAAATGTAGAAGGATATAATAATGGTGGCATGTGTCACTGAGAAATGAACACAATCTCTAAATTTACAAATTACTGCTTAAACACATCTCCCAGATTTTAGCAACATAAAAAGACCATCTTTACCATTACTTTTTTATAGTCTATTGATCAAATGGAAAAGATTCCACTCTAAATGAACAAACAATACTCAGAGTCACACGATTCACACTGCACTTCATCCTGTCCTACTGGATAGTAAGTGGCAAAGAATAACCTGTCTTGTGGCTTCCTCTTGGAAAGCTGGATCACATTTATGATCTCAGCAGCAAGAAGAAAATGGTAAATAAAAAAAAATTTGCAAGGCACTAATGATTAAATCCTTTTCTAGTCTAAAGCATAAATATATACAACCTTAAATCATGGCTATATTAAATTAAAATTGAACCAAAAAGGAACTGAGAATGACTAATTTGATTTGAGCTCTTTCTGGACATGTTGTCTTCATATAGCTGACTATGGAAAAAAGAACATCTTTAGAGAATCATTTGGTTTAAGACTTGGCTTTGAATTCAGTTACTGTATTAGTTGTCCAATTAAGTTACTTTTCTTGGGGCATAACACAAAGCCTGTGAAATGGAAAACTCATTGCTATCTGTCTATCTCCTTGAGAGTGAGTAGATCAATAAAGAAACATCAGTCTATGCAAACACTGTGGAAGTCAGTATGGAGATACCTCAAAGAACTAGGACTGGAAGTCCCATTTGACCCAGCTATTCCCCTGCTGGGGATCTTCCCCAAAGAATTAAAAGAATCATACCACAGTGATATATGTGCACCCATGTTCATAGCAGCACAATTCATGATAGCTAAAACTTGGAAGCAGCCCAACTGCCCATCAACTGGAGACTGGATAAAGAAAATGTGTTTTTTAAAATAAAATGGAGTCCTACTCAGCCATAAAAAATGAGAAATTAAAGACATTTATAGCTAAATGGATGCACATTGAGGCGATACTCAAGTGAAATAAATAGGACACACATGTCCAAATACTGAATAGTTTCTCTAGTGTGAGAAACTGAAAGTGTAAATAAGGACTAAAAGGTATAACAGATAATGTGAAATAGGAAGAAAAGGGGCAAAGGGGAAGGGGAAGTGGGAAGGGTAGGGGAAAGGAAAGAAGGGAATGGAATTAATATAAGAAAAAGAAAAAATAGAAACAAAGTCTTTGTAAATAGGGAGGGATGCCCCTATTTGAAGGGAGGGCAGGGGAAGGGGGAAAAATAAAAACCAAGAGAGATTATGTAAAGGTGCAAATTTCCAATGATGAATGTTATTATATTGTATACCTAAAATGCACCAACAAAATTAATTGAAAAAGAAACACCAATCTATTTTCCCTTTCAAGATAAAACATAGATTAAAAGTTATTCTCCCAGCGTTTGAGTGTGTTACAGATACATAAGAGAAAACTCTTTAAGATAAACATTTTCCTCATCTGTAATATACTGAGATATGATCTTCATCATATGACTACTGGAGATACTGTTAAAACTGTTTCATTTAAAATTAGAGATTGCATAAGGTACCAATATTCAAGGGTTCTTAAAGCCCAAGCATTTGCTCACACTGTGAAAGTGCTATCTTGGTGTTTCTCCACTGATTTTGTGAGAACCATGTTGAGTTCTGCCTCTTCCTGGAAGATTCGCTTACTACTTCTACCATCTCCATGATCCCTGCTCTGTGTCCCTAATACACTTGCATTCTGTCATGTGCCATTTCATGCTCAAGTGCACTGGCTTCCCTTTGCTGGCTCAAGTCTATTTCCACCCAGACTGTAAATTCTTTAAGGGGAGGGAATGGAGCTCACATCTCTGCATATCACAACTTGTGGCTAAGTACTGAATTCGTATTAACCCTAGATGCTCAATGACAGCTCATTATCAGTTAGAGTAATAAATACTGGACTGAAATACAACACCTAGGAAATAAACCCACATTTCAATGATTTTTGCGGTCTTTGAAAATATTTACCTCCACTCACATAAAGAATCCAACTTAAAGGACTTTATTGAAAAAGTGGATGTGATATGCTTAAAATTTCCAACTTTGTGAAAATGTCTTTCAAATTTTTAAATTTCATGCACATTTTTTCCTTGAGCAAAAAATTCTTTTGGAGCTGGGGATTTAGCTCAGTGGTGCCGCTGCCTTGCAAATGCAAGGTCCTGAGTTTGATCCCTGGTACTAAAAAAAAAAAAAATTCTTTTGGCTACTTTTTAAAATCTTTTCAACTTGTCAACTGAATTCCCCAAGTAGTTTATGTATTTTCACTGAAGAACAATAGTGTGGGCCTATCCTGTAGCTAATCAGAAAGACTGGCAGGGCCATGCAACATCAAATTTAGCAGAGCAGAGGTAGAGCTATATTATAGAACTGTAATAAAGAGGGAAAGAAAATAGAATGTAGAAAAGGAAAAATAAAAGGGAATGGGACGGCAGTATTACTTCACTTCTACATAGATCTATTCTTTTCTGAGATTTGGAGAACAAATTATAAATCAGTCCAAAGTATGCAAAAAATTTTTAAAAAGAGGAACAGAATCATGCAACATATTTAAATAACTGCTAATAATAAGAAAATAAGACGGAAAAAAGATAATCCTGTCAGTGAGACTTTTTTGGACACTTATGTAAAATGGGCAGTAATTTGGGATTTGACAAAGAGTTAATTCTAAGTGCAGAGAATGGAAATAAAAATTAATCCCCATAGATTTTAGTGGGGAAACTAATGCAATTCATGTTAAATCAGTTATTTTTAGAGACTCATTGAAAATTAGATGCTGAAAGAAATTAATGAGATTAATAACTAGATTACTTTTCAATGAAAAGTATCTTGAAAACTACTGTCACTCAGAGATGTAATGAATACACCACAGAGAACATTAGTGTATGTAAGTAACGTCTCTCTTGAGCATTTAGGGATCAGCTCTAAGAGGTCCTCTTAGTCTTCTCCTCCTATTACTGTCTGTCCTGCTTGCGAGGAAGGCATGAGGGGAGTGAGATGAAGTGAGTGGCTTTCCATGCCCACTGTTTGTTTCTTTTTATTTCTGATACTCAATGACAATATATTTAGAGTTTATGCATGGAGTAAGTTGTAGAAACACTGGCCTTGGTGATGTTTTCTATCAGTCAGCGGGGTGATAATTTAAAGATTAGAAAAATATAATAAACAGTAGCACATCCTAATAAATCATGGTTTGGGCTAAGGCAGGGTTTCACAGCCTTGCCACTACTGATCTTTTGTGCTGGATACTTCTATTCTGGGGGTTCTCTTGTGCATCATAGTATTTTTTTATCCGCATTCCTGGTCTCTATCCTCTAGACTACATAAGCACCTAACCCCTAGCTATAACAAGAAAACCATCTCCAGACAATGCCATGTGTTCTCTGGGGGGCAAAATCACCCCCAGTTAAGAAGTACTTGGGTAAGGGTTTATGTTACAAAAGATAAAAGACTTCCTTTATATTAAAATGTCAGACTTTCAGGAATATTTCACTCTGTAGTGCAAAGACCATGCCTAAATCATGCCAGATAGTGAGGACTCTATTCTATTTTTAGAAAGAACTGCCATGTCATTCCTAACTTAAATCTTCTACAATGGCCTATTGCAAAGCTTAACCACAAACTCCATTCATCTGGGTCATTTTGTATGTGTATCTGCAATAAGCAGTGACTAGCTGTGGGATTCTCTTTTAGAGGCTGGAACTGTGAAGGGGATTTAAACACTTAAAATTGGTGGCTTGACAGCTGTTACTGAAATATGTGGATTTTAAGCATTATAATTATACGTTCTATTATAATATGGCATAAAGTGATAAAGGCAATAATGTTTCTAAAATGCTTTACCTTTAGAGATAATACTAATGTGGTCAAATCATACCCAAAATAAATTCAGGAAAAGCTCTGCTCTTTTTCTTAAATGGTCCCCTTTTCCAGCATGGGACTAGCCAAATGTTACGGACTACGTAAGGAACTAGCATTATTTTCAAGTGGAAAGACACTGACTGCTGCTGTATATTAAAATTATCCTCAATCAGTGTCAAGTTCCACCAGTCACTGCAGTGAGAGATTTTCATATGGTTAAATTCTGAAATTATAATTTTAACTAATGTATTAATTCAACAGTTTCACTCTCAGTAGAAAAACGCATTAAGATATGTTAACAGAAACCTTACTCATTTAGCCTTTAAACCAAAAACTCTACTCTCTGAGACTCGAAGACTGATCATTTTAAGAATGAAAAACTTATTTTTGATGATGGATGTGATATCACAGATACAGCATCTCATGCGGCCTATTGTGTCATGTCTTCAAAATTACATTTCTTCATGGTTGGTAATATTGTCCTGGTTCATTAAAATTTTTTCTAAACAGAATATAGTTGATTTTCATTTTGGAATTAATTTTTAAATGCACTGTACACAATTTAAAGATACCTCCCCCATGCAGTGTACTTAAATAGCATAAAAATCAAATCATCTAACGCAAAATTCGAGAGAGAGAGGAGAGAATCAAATGGACAACTCTTGAAAGGACTGAATTTCTAACACATTAGCACAGTGTCAAAACCTTTTATTTGTAATTAAAAATTTCCTAGTTTTGATCATGTGTTCCTAGAGAAGTAGAAAATGATAGGAGAGAAATGCTAAGTATTAGTCAAAAGAAATTCTAATGTAAAACTTTCACTTTCTAAGCATGATGTGGGAGAAGAAATTGGAAAGTCAGTCATCTGCTATTTTACTGAAAAAGCGCTACAGTTTGAGCTATTTTGTGATTTACACACTTGAATTTGGGATGTGATATACAAAGGTCATTTCTATCTATACCATTTGCCTCGCAGGAATGTATAGGTTAACTGACCACACAATGTCATTATCATTAAATTCCTAATTTAATTTGAACCAATTAAATATGTATTTTTGAGGATATCAGAAATCTTCTGCAGTCTTTTTGGTTGTAACAGTATGATATAAGACCCCTCTTATGTATCTACAGTGGTTAAACAAAAGAGAGGAAAGACCACAGACAATATTATTCCCATTATCAGAATAGAGAAAGAATACTAATGTGGGTATGAGAAGAAACAAGGATAAACTGCAAGGTTGAAGAAAAGTGATACAAATACCTATATGGACACTGGATCTGCTATACCCTTTTGCATTTGCAGGATTTAAAGCCCATACTTTTTTTTTTACACTACACATACTGTTGCACAAAGGATTCAAGTACCATCTGATCTGAATCCCAAATGCAACATATGATCTATACTCTTTTCTTAAATTCCTAAGTGGATTCTGAACTGTGGTAGTTTTTAAGTCTAGAAAGTCAGATGAGCTGCTTCCTCCAGCATAAAGAAATATACTAGGATGACCGAGTATGGGTTGTCAGCAGAGTGGAAACTTTTAGTAATAAAAGACATAACATTTTATAGTCCAGCAGTTTTTACCTGAAGTAGCGTAAAACACATTATCAGTGGCAGTCTGGAGTATGCAGAGTTAAAGTTAAAATACAGGCAACTGGAATCTGATCTATGGGGACATCCCACACTGGTATTACTGATAAGAACGTTTAGGAAATATAAATTCTTCCCTTCAAGTGGATCACAAGAGGTCAAAGTTGACATGGATCGTTGGTGGTATAGTGGTGAGCATAGCTGTCTTCCATCCACAGCTGACATGGAAGGTGCATGGATGGAAGTGACATGGATGTGTGATGCATACAACATGCTCTCAAAGTCCACTATCACTCTGTGATCTGTAGCGTTTAGAATGCAAAAAAAAGACAAAGAGTGCCATTGTTGAAATTCTGCAATCCAAATAGTGTGTGTTTATGTACTGAGAAGATGACATGGTGATATAGAAAGCAGAGAAAACACAGTGAACAAAAGAACAATGATAAAGAGAATCTACACAGTTTATAAAGGTGATCTGATTCTGCTGTATCTTTGATCACAGAAACGATATAATGCAGGAATAAAGGTGCTATTTTTGCGTTTATTTGCAGGTTCTTGTGTATACACTTAGGAAGACAGAGGTGAGATTCTATAAAGTAGTTGTGTTAGCCCCATTTCTGGGTAAGTGAGCCTTACCAAACGTTCATGTGGATGCAGGCTACAGTAGCTGCTAGACTGTGGAATATGAGAAGAATTGCCCAACATTCCTCCGTAGCCAGGCTGATTCATCCCACTGGAGGAGCTCCAAGGATCACTGCTGTGATGACCATCTGTAAAGGACAAAGAAAACCATGACTTTTCTGAGGCAGTCAGCCTTGCCTTATAGAATAGGGATTTTTCATATACTTGAAAATGACCGCCTGTTGTGTATTCATCTTTGTGTTGGTAAGCTGATTACATCAGAAGACAGTCATCATTATTTTTCCCCAAGTGGTTCTATATTGTCAAATAAAAACATTGAACAAAGTTCGTGTTCTTAGTAAAAACACAACTATAAAGGAACAAGAGCATGTTTCTATACAGAATTTTGTCAAGTCAGCAAAGTAATGCCAAAGGAAATGTTAGTTAGAAGTTTCTGACCCTCTTTTCTTATGAAAACAACAAAAAAAGTTAAATTATTCCTAAACTTTGAGGTGAAAATAAAAGTTGAGACATTACAAAGTTGGCAAATTTACAAGTTTGAAAAGCATGTAAAGACATAAGCAATGAAATGTGAAGATCAACTCAAATGTAAAAAGCTGGATTTCCTTTTTGTAACATCCATAATAGGTGGAATTAATGGTGGAATTGCATTATGCAAGGAAGAAGATTTTCAAATATGTAGTACTAAGTTTTTTTATTTAGGTATATAGGTATGAAGTTATTTTAAACTTTCAATGACAATTTAAAAGTACATAAATACTATGAGAAAAATTTGAAGCCATCTAGATTTTATGAAATTATTTATGACTTTAAGAGGTTTTAAAGCTATATGGACTAGATATAAGCTGTTTTTAATGGGATGTTAATATTGTGCAGCACCAGATTAAAAATATTCCTATATTTTCTTTTCATTCTCTGGCCCTGTTGGCCTAGAGGTCATTATTAGAGATTGTTGTTGTTTGTTTTTTATATCTCAAACTGAGGAGCAAAATATGATCTATATTAACGAAGAATTCACTCATTTTTTTCATTTAATAGTTGAACAAAAATTGAGTTCTGAACATATACCAGGCCCTCAGCTAGGTATTAAATGTATAGCAGGTAATACTTCCTTGAAGCTAAGAGTATGAAAATGATTAAAGTATATTATGCACATGCACAAATTTGCCAAAATGAAACCCATTAATCTTTATTACCAATATGCACTAAAAAAAATGTAGGGGAAAAGGGTTCCCCCCAAAAAGCCTTAAATACCTAGGTAATATGAAGTTAAATTTGATACTGTATTTTCATGAAGCTGTTTTTCAGTCAATTTTTAAATCCAGAAGTTAAGAGTTTCAGAACTGGACTAGCTTTAGAACAGAAAAGAATAGATGGTAGATTTCTTTAAGAACTATGCAAGCAAAATCATGCCTGTGATTTTGATAGTTTAGCGTTTTAACTAGAAGGTTAAAATTAAAGTTAAAAAAAGAAGCCACAATACTAAGTTTACAATGTGCCCCAGACAGCCTCTGTTTATCATTCACAGTAGTGCCATGCTGTTTCAAGCCTTGAATTCTCAGGGCACCAGGTAGCCCTCTACTGAAGGAAGCCGAGGTAAGTCAGCAATCAGGATGCATGTTCCTGGGGTTGTCAGGTGAAAATAGGTTTTCCAAAAAGTTATTTACTAAATGTACTTTAGTCCTCAGATTGCAAAAGTTTAAATTCAAATATGAAGTTCAAGTCCATTAACATCTTAAATAGACTTCATGCTTGACAAATAAAAGGAGACTACATATCATTAAGTCTTTTGAAACATTCTGACATGATACACAGGGTGGCAATACATTTAGGATTGTTAACACAGAATACTTGATGCAGACTTATAAAAATACTTATTTTACATAAATTATGCTTTTCACAGTAAATTAATATTTATCACATCCCATGATCTTGGCATAATGTTGTTTTGAAAGAATAGAATTAGATGTGTGCAAATTAATTGTGCTCATCATAAATGTCAGCTCAATTTTTTTTCCTTTTTGAGTATTCATACACAGAAAAACGAATTTGCTCCTCTTATTTTGTGTAGTCTGCTATGTAAATGTGCCAACTGCTTTAATTTACCTGGCTAACCCTGCAATGTGTACAGTTCAAGCAAGCTCCTTTTCCAAGCAGACAGAAGAAACCTATCCTGTCAACTTTCTAGGTGAAAATCTGTTTTGAGTGTCAAATCCTTGAGTTGACAAAACCTGAAAACACCTGTAAGAAATTTCTACCACTGCTCAAAAGAGGGGAGCTGACGCTGTGGCACCTAACGGTTGACTGTAGAAGGTAATTAAGTCCTTCATCATGGCACTGACACACTCAAGTGACTAGTTTGCTGTGTCCCTATGAGAGTTACACCTAGGACAGGTCACAAAGATAAAGGATCCCTGTGAACAGAAACTCCATTATGTGTAGAACACATTCTCTATTCCCGAGGGACCCATACGATTCAATTTTATAGACTTTCCATGTAATTTCACATGTAAACCAGCAACCTGAAAAAGCTAACACTCTGAAGTGAAAGAAAATAAATCTCTTTTTATCAGAAGTTTCCAGTATGTCCACTGAGGCACCAGGCTGCTTCGCAGGTACTTTTCCCCTCCTCTTCCCGTGACATGGTCCTTCTCAGAGTGGCGCAGAGAAAGAAGTCCCATAGGGTTTCACACCCAGGCAATAAAAGTTAAAAGTTCTGTGGACAGGGTCCTAGGTAAACTCCACATTTACATACAGGGTAACTTGGCAAAAGGATCACTGCATTTTAAAAATAAGTGTAGTGGATATGTCAGGAATGGAGCCCTTTGCTGCATCCTCTAAGTAGGCCATTCTTGAAGTAGCTGCTGTCATTTCAACATCTCAGACTTTTCCAGGAAGCAGAAAGGAGATATGCTACCAGGGGCAGGACACACATTTATCTGCATTTAACTAAGTACAGTGCACAATTAAAAGAACAAATATATCTTATCATCCTATAATTTTTTATATGTTGTTCCCCTGAAAAAAGTTTTTTTCTTTCCACTCTAAATCAGTCAGCCTGTTGGGATAGAGCTTTCACCATGTGATATCCCAATCTTTAGCTGGCTTACTTTGACTTAGTGGAACTCTTATTGTTACTCGCAAATTAGTAAGTGGTTGAAATTTTTATATAAATTATACATAAGGAGAATCTGTTCCCTGTTGACTAAATCCAAGATGGTTAAAACATACTCCCCACTTAAACACTCCTAAATGTAACACAGGTTTTGAGAATGGCAAAGATGCTTAAGAGGTCACCCCTAGAAGAACAGTAGAATGGGTTTTAAGTGAAGCAGATTGATATAATCTTAACTTATAGTTGCGTAAAGGGCTTTATTTTTTTAAAAAGTCTTAATAAAGTTTTAGTTAGTTAATTTTTAAGGAATTTAGTTCCTAAAAAGAACATGACCTCCACTATATTTCATCCTTGTCTACTATCCTGTTTATTTTGCTCCCAACGTGACGTGTAAAAACCTGACAGGTTTCCCTATACATGAACAAGAACCTTACCTTGCATGAAGAAGGAGCTAGGGAAAGTGCTGGCTGCTGGTTTTGAGGAAGGGTAGCCTGGCGAGTCCCTATTGTAGTCGGCAGTGCTTGCTGATGGAGCATAGACCTGAGGAAGAAGAACCAAGTGAGTTTTGCTTTCTGCATTGACCAATGCATCTCAGTGTCCATTATTTTATAAGAAGCTAAATTCCAGGGGTTGGGGATTTAGCTCAGTGGCACTGTGCCTGACTTCCAAGTGCAAGGTCCTGAGTTCGATCCCCGGTACCAAAAAGAAGCTAAATTCCTATCCCTGTGCAGTTTCAATCTGAACTAATTCTAGAAACACTGCCCCTTTAGAACACAGCAAAACAAAAAAGAAAATGCTCCATATATTTGTGTGAACAGAAAATGACCAGGTATGGTATTTTCCAGTTACAGACAGGAATATTGCAAACCATGTCTAGTTGTAAATATACCCTGGAATACCCTTAGGGTAGCCCTGAGTCTAAGCATCTCCACTTTCTGTAAACATACATGGCCCAGAAGTGTGTGAAAGGTGAAACCAGAAAGACATGCATTAAGCCTTTCCCAAAAGACAGAGTAAAAACTCTACTTTTCAATCGAAATTTTCACTTTTGAAGGGAGAGAGGCAGGGACTGACAGGGAGATGGAGGGAGGGATGAATCATCTAGACCACAGAAAGCGATAAATATATCTTGGACTATTAAATTCCCATAGTGTCAGCTTTTTGCAGAGATGCACGAAAAGGACCATTAAAAATCTGGATCTACACAAGACCACCTACAATCAGTGTGTACACAGAAAGAGGGGGCTCCTTTTTAGTGCTTATTATATGTGTGTACAATAAACTTAAAAAGTGTGCCAAAAATCTAATTTACTTATATTTGTTTACTAATACTCATGAGCTTTGGGGAACTAGTTCTTTGTAAAAATAGCTTGTGTATTTTCTTGTTTATGTTTCCTTTAAACAGGACAGCATAGTAGAAAAGTATTAATTCATAAGGTATAGTTTAATTGGTTTTTCCCCTTGCCTTTTCTGTTAAATATAATTTTTTAACCCCATTTTCTTTTGCTCTAAAAGTTCCTCTCTCCAGATGGTTGGAAAGACCGAAACACTGTCATCCTCCTGATGAAAATGGATACCTTCCTGCCTCCATTTTGAAGCAGGCAGCGGCTTACGAAATTGGCAGTGAGCCTGCAGTGATATTTACAGGTCACAGTAAAAGGAAAAGAAATTCACCAATAAAAAGGCAACTGCAGGGTTACCAAAAAATAACTCCCGTCTCTTTTTTATGGCACACATCGAATAAACACCCTAAGAAAAATTATATAATTGCTCTCAGATCACCATGAATCACAAACTAAGCACTAATACAAGGTTTAGGATTTCACAAAGGATAGGTCCATCGGGACAGATGCGGGAGAATATGTACACACATCTATATATCACACAAATGCGACATTTGCCACCACCACCCCCAGCCCTTGAAAATTGGGAGAAGGTTCTAAAGATTACACAAAACAGAAACCAGAAAAACTCACATTTTAGAAAACAAGGATTTTTTCTTAACTCACAAAGGGAGTTAAGACCTGCATTTCATAGGATTTTATTTTGTAATTTTCTTCACAGTTTAAACATATAAAGAGCAATTTGCTCCTTTTTTCATAGGGCTCCCCACAAGAGAAGAAAAAACATTTTTAAGTATCTATGAGGAACAAGTAATAAAATGTAGAGCAGAAATGTAAAACTAAATCAATAACCTAAATTCTGTCGAGCAAATTTCAGTATTTTCTAGAAAACTATATAGCAGTTTGAGAAGTACTACTACATATATTTAAAGAAAGTCTGCGGTGAGGGCTAAAAGAAGATGAAAGAAACAGCACCTTCTAGGGAAGGGGAAAACTGAAGATCATATTATCTCACTAATGAGAGAAATGAGCACATCATGACTACAATATATCCACATGCTATTAGGCTGACATGCATTTGGCCAGTACACATAGTACATTTAGCTTTAGTACCATATATTATCCCTCAATTTCAGAAATCAATGTAGATTTATTATAAAACTGGAAAAATTCATTAAGTTACTTTATGTTTTAAAACAACTGAAAGCAATTATTTTAATATATTGCTTAATTTTAATTATATATTCTATTACATTACTTTTAAGCATGTATATTATTATGTCGACACTACTTGATGACACCTAACAAGTTTCATCTTTTTTTTTCCAGTTTTTGAATTTTTGGAATAAGGAAAATTTTGGGTTAATTTTAGTAATTTATACAAAGGCTACTCTCACTCTGAATTATGATCAAGTTTAAATATCATTTACTTCAAAGGGTAAGACCACTTACTCCAAAATCCTAAATACTGCCTGCATAGAAAAGAATATCTACAGTGTTAGATATATTATACTAGGTATCTTCTAGTAGTATAGTCAATTGAAAATTTTAAAAAAGATAAAATTTTTATTAACAAAATTGAAAATTTTTAGTTTTTAAAAACGCAATTTCTGTGTACCTCATAGCATTTCCTCATATAGCAATTTACAAATTACATACAATGTTATTCCTTTTGCCTTTATATACTTCATCTTTCTTAAAGTTATTTTTAAAGCAGCTCTCTGTATTGTTTATTATGTAAAATAAATGTTGCAAAGAACTATACTTTTTAAAAGTAGAAGGAACCAATGAATTTATTTAGCTCAACACCATATATATATATATATATATATATATATATATATATATATATATATATATTTTGGGGGCTACCGGGGATCAAACTTGGGTCCCTGTGCTTGCGAGGCAGGCGGTGGAACCACTGAGCTAAATCCCCGGCCCAACACCCTATATTTTTTAAATCATAAAATTCAATAATGGAAGGGGCAAAGCAACTTGCTACAGACATAAAACTATCTGTTCTTTATTTCTCAACATTTAATAGGTACTTCTTTTTAAGATGGTAGTGGAGGTATAAGGTATTTAAATAAACACAGTGAGTATAAAGTTCACACTTTAGTCTATCTTTAGTGTTTTAATTTTTAATAACCAGGATGACCAGTGAGCTGTTTTATTATTTCTACTTTGCTCAATTATTTTGCCAATTTCTCAATCAAAAGACTTCAAAGTACAGGTTTCAATAAGATTTTAATACTAATATTAAATTCAATAAGAAAGGCTCACATGTACTTAGGTTTCACTATTATTCTAGGTATATAAAAAAGATTACTAACACAAGTGGAATTGCTTTTAATACCTAACACCAGAAAATCAGTCCAATTTGAAATGAAATAAAAATCCTATGCTCTAGTACAATAAACTGAAGTAACCCCAACAATGAAACATGAGAAAAACCTAATGGAAAATAAAAATCCACACTTAAATTCTTTTTCAATAAGGTGGCTTAGATCAAGGTGACTTGGCATTCTGATTCTCCCTACAACAGTAACTAAAGAAGTGTGAAATTTTGTTGCCAAATTGGAAATGGGGATTGTTGGTCCAAGCTCACAAGACATAGCTCTTTCACGGAATTATTTGTTGAGTAATAGCCTCACGGGAAACTAACAGCACAATGTCTTTCATATTAAAACAGCACCATCATCTTTTCTCTTACAATCTTGGATTTGAATAAAATCATACATAGAAATTATAAACTCAACAGAGCTCTAGCTAATACTAAGCACTGAACTGGTAAGAGTAAAAAAATGTTTCTTTTTACAGATTTAATTTCTGTTGTAGTTTGAGAAGTACTACTGTGGTGGCACTGGCTGCTCCCTTTATTGTTCCCAGCTATCTTTTCTGTCGTCACCAAAGAAACAACAGTATAATATGATCTAAACAGAACCTCTGAGTATTAGAAAAGAAGAAAACGAGCACACAAACCAGCAAACCCTGAGAGGAGAGTTTGAGTCCTTTTCCACTTGATGCTGCCATCTTTAAAAATCTTAGTTTGTCAGTTTCATTTGTGGAGCTATTAAAATAACAATTAGGCCAGTGATTGAGCTCAGTGGTACTCTGCCTGCCTTGCAAGTACAAGGTCCTGAGTTTGATCCCCAGTACCAAAAAACAAAAACAATGATGACCATATGTTTGGGGTCTCCCGTGGGCGAGTTTTTGTGGCTCGAATTCCAACTATGTTATTTCTAATCTTCATAAAGATCGCACAAGGTGTTACCACTAATAGTATTATTTCTAAATCACCAGACTTAGGTATGGCTGAGAGGCATAATGTGCCAGCCCAAACCAGCCTGGGTCTGATCACAAGTTCTGCGGTTTATTAGGATCTGTTACTTTTAACTTCTCTGGTCTTCAGATTCTTACATGTAAAACAGGAATCACAATGCTTGCTCTGCAAAGTTCTTATGAGAATTAAATGGTATAATATGTATGAAGCAACTAGAATGGTACCTGACACATACTGAGCATACAAAAAAATTTAAAAAATCAGGCACTAGTGCCTATGCGTACTGCTATTGTTTTTATTAACTAGATAAATACAACTCTGGAAGGTTAAGTCACCTCCCCATGTTAAAAATCTTCCAAGTGATAATCCAAGATCTGAACTAATTATCAAAGTCTACACTCTTCCTAATAAAAAGTTTCTTGCTCTTAAATGGAAAAAAAGAAAAAGGTAGTATTTTTAGCTATCAAATGAAGCTATACTTTAGTCAAAATTCATTGAAATATCTTGTGGGATCTGATGATTCCTTTTTCAGAAGGTAAAATGTCTAAGGTATGCTTATGGTGAAACCAAGTATATGTTAAGAAATCTGCCTTCTGAAGGGGAAACTGTAACTCTGAGGGACAAGCAGAAGTGGCTTCAGATCATGTACCCTGAGTAATGTTACTATCTAGGGTTGAGTGATGGCCACCGATTGGCACAGCTGACTTGCACTATTCCTTAACATTGCTACTCCTAGTGATTCTCCAAGTGCCACTGTATCTAATTTCCAAAGAGAATCAGAACTGAAAAATTGTAATTAAGGCTTTCAGATCCTTATAGTTTCTGTATGCCCTACAACTAGTAGAAAGCAGCAAAGCAGAATGATGCCACAGATGCCCAAGTACTGGCTATGCTCACCGCGTAACTCAAACCTT